CCTGTACCCCAGTTCTGTATGTACAAATAAATAAATCTTTAAAAAAAAAATATTTGTTGGTTAAAGAGATGAATAAGTTAATGAGAATCTAAAGAGAAGCTGTCATGATGGGTGTGAAAACCTGGCATTCTTATTCTGTTTAAATATCTGAAATGCAGAGAAGTTTCCCATGAGGCAGTTTGTTCATGGAGAAGAGGAAGGAAGAGGATGCCTGATGCCATATTGTAGTAAATCCATTAGGATGGGGGGTTTGCGTATCTTTTTGGAATCAGAATTCTAATGCTTTGCTTTTGTACATTTCTGTGCATTTCTTTTGTTCTTTATACTTTTGTCTTCAAGGATGTACTGTCTAAGAATTTCATGCTCTATTTTTACATATATCTATTTTTACATATAAGAATTTCATGTTTCTATTTTTAAGAAACATATATGAAAAACTAATTGAGAGCACATCCCATTGGGCTTCCCTGCAATAGAGAAAATACTTTGAGAATCTCCAGTTCCAGAGCAATGCCTGCATCTGGATATCGGAATCTGCATTTTTATGTAAACTACCTAAATTACCTAGGAGGATTATGGCAATCTTCGCCTTCAAAACATGATTTTCATAATGTTAAAACCTTTGGTACAAAATCGGAACAATAGGAAAATAATATATATATATATATATAAAACGACCTTCTCCACATATGCTTGCTGGCTGACTGACCCATCTCCTTCAAGAGGACAATGTCCTAGAGCAGATGTCCTCTTAGGCAGGGGTAGGTGATGGTACAGACAGCATCCTCGTACCCTCACCATCCCCTGGGAGCCTACTTGCTTCAGGAATGTAAGTTTCTCAGCAGGAGATTCTATAAATATACTAGCGACCTAAAGGGGAATGGTATTATTTTCTTTGTTACAAGTTAATCCTATCATCCCCTTGTTTATAAATCCAGACTGGTTTTCTACAATCTTTAGGATGAAATGCAGACTATTCAAGTGGTCCTCAAAGTATTTCATAATCCAGTCCCCAAAGCTTTCACTTCTCTTCCCCATGCTCTGACTTCAATAAATTTCTTGCTATTTCCTATTATGTCAGATCTTACCTCAGTTGTGCTACTTTGCTCTTACCTCTTGAAAGGCCTCTTGCCTATTTACACTGAGCTTTTATCTAGAAACTCCAATCCATCTTCATGCCATCCTTATCAGGTGTCTTCTCTTTAAAGCAACCTCCCCCGAGCGCCTCAGGCAGAGTTAATTGTTCTATCCTCTGTTATAAAAGCATTTGGTGCCTGAATGACTCAGCAGAAGCATTTCCATATTGCATTATAAACCATCTCTGCATCTCTTTCTCCACTCTAAATTCCTTAAGAGTAGTGACCTAATTTTCTTTCATCATTGTGTCTCTCATGTCCAACACAATCTTAACATATCATTGCTCAATAATTCTTTGAAACACCGAAGAAGTCCATTTCAATTTAGAAATATTTTCATAATTTTTATTTAAACTTTTTTTGCAATTATACTTGTTTTCATTTTAGAAAATGATCTATAAGTTAACTGCTGGAGGAAAATATGCAAGTGACAAATATTTTAGATTAAAATGTTGTTTCGGCCTAAAGCATGCCTTCATTCAAGTGCATGCATTGGACATGTGACTGTGTCATTAACAGTCTTGTCTAATATGGCATGTGCCTAAGACATTAAAATAAGAATACGATTTAAGTTAAATACGCTCACCAAAAGTGAGATGGTCCTATTGCATAAATGGAAAAGCTAAGACATAGTTGTAGTTACAATAAGAACAGTTATTATCAAGCATTTGTTATATGTGAAATGCCAGACCGTGAATGCCACACTTCTCACCGTTTACTCTCACAACATACTTTAACTGATTAGCCTCTTTTTATTGACTAGGACACTGAGGTTAGGAGGAGGTAATTCTCTTGCTCAGAATCATGAAAAGTAAATTTGACTCCAAAGACTGTATTCTGATGTAGTAAATATGTTTATGCTGACTTAGAGTCAGAAATTCCCTAGTAATTCAAGGTGAGCTGTATTTACACCTGTGTGGACCTGGCAAGGGGCCTGCTGATGCTGTGGGCCCCAAGACCTACCT